CTCCTCCATGCCTCTTATCAGTTTGGTTGCCCTTCTCTGTACTTTCTCCAGTTCCCCAATGTTCTTTTTTTTGAATTGGTGCCCAAAACTGAACTGCATATTCCAGATGAGGTCTTACTAATGATTTGTACCGGGGGGGGGGGGGGTGTAATATGATATCTCTCTCTCTGGAGTCTATACCTCTTTTAATACAACAGAGGATTTTGCTCGCTTTAGAACCCCCAGCTTGGCATTGCTGCCATTATTGAGCTTGTGACCTACCAGAACCCCCAGATCTTTCTCCACCATTGATTCCCCCAGTTGTACCCCCCCCCTAGTATGTATGATGCATGCATATTCTTAGCCCCCAAGTGCAGAACCTTACATTTATCAACATTAAACCTCATTTGCCACATAGTTGCCCAATTACACAGAGCATTGAGGTCGGCTTGTAAGTTGGAGACATCCTGTAAGGACGTTATTCCCCGGCACAGCTTGGTGTCATCTGCAAAGACTGAAATGGGATTTATAATCCCAGACCCTATATTGTTTAAAAATATATTAAAAAGTAAGGGTCCCAAAACTGAACCTTGGGGTACACCACTGACACCCCGAAACCATTCAGAGTATGAATCATTAACCACTACTCTCTGAATACGATCTTTTAGCCAGTTTTCTAAGTCTGTAGACTTGGCGATTAATGTTAAGTGAACCCAGGCCATCATATTTCTATGAATGTAGCAGATATATATATATATTGTAAAGGGACTATATATAAACCTCATACAACAGCTCTAGCGTTTATTACGCTGTGCATATAAGAGCATTTTATTATTGCCTGTGCAAGTACATCAGAAATGCTTTCTATTTTCCAAGGATAACATTATGTTGGCTTGTACAGCGGCTTCTGCAATTTAATCAATGTGCAATGCCATACCTCCCAACATTCTGAGATGAGAATGAGGGGCGCCTTGCATGCTGGGGTCCTGAGATTTATTCCCACCAGGGATAGTATGTGAAACTGCATGTTTTAGATCAGGGTTTCCTAACCAGGGTTCCTTCAGAGGTTGTTTGGGGTTCCTATAGCAATTAACAATTTCTGCCTCTCAAATAAGTTCCCATTGACACCATTGATCTTTTTAGCTCTCTGTAAGGGTGTAATTCTTCCCAATAACCACACGTATAAGGAGCATTCTTCCCGCTGATCATCACATTGATGTATCCTGAGTTGTAGATATAGTCTTTTTATCAGGTGTTCCCCGAGGCTTGAAAGTTATCTTAGAGGTTCCTCTGTCTTGAAAAGGTTGAGAAAGACTGTTTGGAGATTCTTTGGAGCCCGTACTGTTTTATGTGGGTATCTTCCAAGAAAATTGTTGCAATTACAAATGTTTAGGCATTCTCATGTTTATTTGTTTTGTTTGTATTGGTATGACCAACCAACCAATGGGAGTGACTTATGAACATCGGGGTTGGTTGGTCCACAAGCTGTGATCAGTTAGTATATAACTGTGCAATTCCTTAGGTTCTTTTCATCCAAAATGTATTTATATATATATATATATACTACGGTACAGGGGCGGACTGACAACTCATGGGGTCCCCGGGCAATAGGGGATCATGGGGCCCCTGTGTCCTTGCCCAAACTCAAAAAAGCCTATGAAAAAGGTACCAGGGGCATCTCATGGGGCCCCCTACTGACCCCAGGCCCTCGGGCAGTGCCTGAGTTTCCAAATGGTCAGTCTGCCCCTGCTACAGTATACATATATATATAGTTTTTACATTACAGATTCGTGCTTTTTTTTTTACACATGTATTAGAAATTGCTTTGTATTAGTCGTCTTTAACATATCATTAGTATCAATCAGCAGTTCTTTACATTTATCGCTTGAAATGCACAATAATTGTGGTGTTTTTTTTCTTCCCGTACATATACACCTTTCAAACCCCCCCCCCCAAAAAATATCACGTATCTTTTAGATCCACCTCTATCTTGTGATAATAGTTTTTTTTAAATACAGTATGTATATATTCAGTCACTGTTGAAAGAGATGTGTTTAATGTAAAAAAAAAAAAAAGATATTTATTGTTGTTCCATATAATGCTAATACTGTTTTTATTGTTGTATTATACTGTGCAAACAAGTTCCGTGCAATAGTATTGTTGCCCCTTTAAAAGTTCAGGAGCATCGGCCTCTATAAACATATATGAAGGCTCCATCAATTCCTCTCCATTAGCTTGAGAAAGCAGCACACCTGTCAGTACATGTGCAGTGCGCATGCTCAGGAAATGTAAGGGAGAATGTCACCAGCACACCGAGGATCACCAATATGGGTCCAAAAGTTTTAATAAACGATCACATAGTTACAGCAAGGCAACGTTTTGGAGTCTCGCAGGACCCCTTCATCAGGCATTTGATTAGGTCACATGCCTGATGAAGGGGTCCTGCGAAACTTCGAAACGTTGTGGTCACATGCCTGATGAAGGGGTCCTGTGAGACTCCGAAAAGTGGTTACATGCCTGATGAAGGGGTCCTGCGAGACTCCGAAACGTTGTGGTCACATGCCTGATGAAGGGGTCCTGCGAGACTCCGAAACATGGTCACATGCCTGATGAAGGGGTCCTGCGAGACTCCAAAACGTTGTGGTCACATGCCTGATGAAGGGGTCCTGCGAGACTCCGAAACGTGGTCACATGCCTGATGAAGGGGTCCTGCAAGACTCCGAAATGTGGTCACATGCCTGATGAAAGGGTCCTGCGAGACTCCGAAACGTTGTGGTCACATGCCTGATGAAGGGGTCCTGCGAGACTCCGAAACGTGGTCACATGCCTGATGAAGGGGCCCTGCAAGACTCCGAAACGTGGTCACATGCCTGATGAAGGGGTCCTGCGAGACTCCGAAACGTTGTCACATGCCTGATGAAGGGGTCCTGCGAGACTCCGAAACATGGTCACATGCCTGATGAAGGGGTCCTGCAAAACTTCGAAACGTTGTGGTCACATGCCTGATGAAGGGGTCCTGCGAGACTCCGAAAAGTGGTCACATGCCTGATGAAGGAGTCCTGCGAGACTCCGAAACGTGGTCACATGCCTGATGAAGGGGTCCTGCGAGACTCCGAAACGTGGTCACATGCCTGATGAAGGGGTCCTGCGAGACTCTTAAAAGTTGTGGTCACATGCCTGATGAAGGGGTCCTGCGAGACTCTGAAACGTGGTCACATGCCTGATGAAGGGGTCCTGCGAGACTCCGAAACGTGGTCACATGCCTAATAAAGGGGTCCTGCGAGACTCCGAAACATTGTGGTCACATGCCTGATGAAGGGGTCTTGCGAGACCCTAAAACGTTGTGGTCACATGCCTGATGAAGGGGTCTTGCGAGACCCTGAAACGTTGTGTTCACATGCCTGATGAAGGGGTCCTGCGAGACTCCGAAACTTGGTCACATGCCTGATGAAGGGGTCCTATGAGACTCCGAAACGTGGTCACATGCCTCATGAAGGGGTCCTGCGAGATCCTGAAACGTTGTGGTCACATGCCTGATGAAGGGGTCCTGCGAGACTCCGAAACGTTGCCTTGCTGTAACTATGTGATCGTTCATTAGAACCTTTGGACCCGTATTGGTGATCCTCGGTGTGCTGGTGACATTCTCCCTCGCTGATTCTGTTTGGTTCCAGCTGACGGTCGCTGCAGCACCCACTTATACACACAGCCATTTTTTACGCAGGAACGTGTGCGTTTGGATCGTACACTTGCTCAGGAAACGTGTCGCATTACGTCGAGTGATGTCATACGCATCATGTTGTACTCCACGAGCGTTCCAGCCCTGGCCCTCAGATCCTCTCCATCTTGCGGCCGGCTTCCTGAAACTAAAACAAGCAGGACCATGGCGTTTAGATGAATTTACACTGCAGACATCCATTCTTTTGATGGATACAGATGTGCTTTTGAAATCTTTTATGTGAGTTGCCAATTGTCTGTGTACAATAAATCCTTTTAAATGTCTTCACTTAGAGGCGCCCTTTTCTTATTCACAACATAAGCAGAATGTTGTCGATGCAGAGCACTGTGTGCACGCACCAGCAATGCCACCGGCTGCAAAACTAGAGAACATCTCCTAAACTTTGCATGTTTAAAAGATATTCATTGTACCTACAGGTGAGCTTTAATACAAGGCTTTCCTGTAGGTACAAGTGACCATGCGGTGTCTACTACTGATTTAATAGGAAGAACATATAACCTGACGGGTTACAGCAAAGTGGGCAACAAGGAACCCAAAAGCCCTCCAACAAACCAGAGTGAAGCAGAGTAGAGCCCTCTTAGAAGAAGAAGGTATATACCGGTACCAATTATCACAGATCCCAAAAATAAGTGGATTATTCCTCACTTTAGGATACCGGGAGGAGCACTGCAAATCATTGCTATTTTGGCTGCTCTGGTTCACCCCTCCCCCTTCATTGACATGCTTATGAAATTGTAAATAAAATCTTTATTGTTTTCATTACATACCTTGTTTTAGACTCTCTTTGCTTCTCTATGCAATTCAGGCAGATTGTGGCTGTTGGGAGAGACTGTACATAGTTTTTTTCTGAAACCAGCAGCCTACCTTAGGTGATGCCCACATGTGATGAAATCTAATGAATAAAAGGGTGGGCCAAGGACTGTCAAGCTGAGGTGGAAAGTGTTAGATGTCCTCCAGCTAAGAAATGAGGGGGGGGGGGGACTCTATCTGATTTGCTGCAGCTTCTAATGTACAATGTGCTAAGTTCACAGTGTGCAGTGAAATCAAAGTAAGCAATTTTAGTACAGGAGTGGAACCTGTACAACTGTGCAAGCCTGAAGAGAAGGCCGGAGGTCAGAATTAAGTTATGCACAACTTCTTTCACAAAGGCAAGTAGATACTTTATTCTTGTTTGTATTGTTCATATTTTTTTTTAATATATAGTATAGGTTGGTGTCCGTAAAATTTTTGTTTCAAAGATGTCTCCAAAGCTCCTTCTGATTCTCATTTTGCTTCCATCTTGCAGAGCGAAGACACCCATTATCAGAAAATAAAATCCGTAATTATATGTACCAACTGTGCAAGTCCTTGGAACACATTCACAGGTAGGCTGGATTGCACGGGATTTGATGGTTACGTAGAAGTCTGGGTTGTACATCTGGGATGTGATAGATGAGATGTACTTTGTGTCCTTCAGGTTTCCTGCCAAAAGCAATCTCAGACATTACATGTTATAGAACAGTAACATAAGTAACCTGTTACCTGTGAATTTCCAGATTCTTCCAGCTGCCTCTTCTGGTTGAACAGAACTAATATCTCTAGAGCAGGGATTATGTCCTAGATCAGTGGTTCTCAACCTGTGGGTCGCGACCCCTTTGGGGGTCAAACGACCCTTTCACAGGGGTCCCCTAAGACCATCAGAAAAACATATTTCTGATGTGTAAAGAGCAGCTACTGTGTAGAAAGCAGCTGCTGTGTTGAAAGCAGCTACTCTGTTAAAAGCAGCTACTGTGTTGAAAGCAGCAGTATTGGAGGTAAAACGACACTCATGAATTATAATTACTGGGTAAATAATGTTATGGTTGGGGGTCACCACAACATGAGGAACTGTATTAAAGGGTCACGGCATTAGGAAGGTTGAGAACCACTTCCATAGATGGTATGGTGGCGTGAGCAATGGACTATGGGAAACATCTTTGCTACTTAAAGTTTACTGTTTCTGTCCTTTAATGATACACTTTAAAGCAGGCATGTCCAAAGTCCGGCCCGCGGGCCATTTACGGCCCGGGGGTCGGTTTAATACGGCCCTCCAACAGCCCTCCCTGCTCTGTGTAATGTGGCCCTCCCACGGCCCTCCCTTCTATGGCAGACAGTCTTCTGCTTGAGACCAGAGGGCAGTGCGCATGCCTGACTGCGGCGCGTTCTCCCTGGTCTGTGTAAATGCGGCTGTCGCATGGCCCTCCCTTCTGTGGCAGACAGTCTTCTGCTTGAGAGCAGTGCGCATGCATGACTGTGCCGCGCTGGGAGCGACAGAGGGCGGTGACGTCAGGGCCGGGCTTCCAGCGTGAAGTGTGTTTCTCTTCCCCTCCCGGCTGCCGAGCAGAGACTTCAGCTCCAGCTACCTTTTTCACCCTTCACATTAGTGCAGGTAAGTTTGTTTAAAATTTATTTTCAATACATTGTGAAAACTCAGCTGTCAGTTGATCTTAATGTTATGAAATGAAAAGTATGTCGTTTGCAATTAACTTGGCATAAAATAATTTATTTGCATTTAATTGTAATGGTTCAAAGAATGTTCGGAAAAAAAATGTTCAGCCCTCCACCATGTTCACTTCATCCAATCTGGCCCTCTTTGAAAAAAGTTTTGACACCCCTGCTTTAAAGTCTATATATGGCCAATCTATATCAGCCATTTTCAACCAGGGTCCTCCAGAAGTTGTAAGGGGTTCCTTGGGTTGTGGTTGATTCATCTCCCTGATTCAACTACTGATTTTCAGAGCCTATTACTTGAGTTTGGCCCATTCCAGTATCCAGAGGAGGGAGTCCCTCTAACACAGGCTGCAAACCTATCCGTCCTTTAAAGGGGACCTCTGGCTGAGCTGATTACCATACAATCCAGGAGCTTCTGCTGTGCTGTTTACTACCCAGAGGGAGGTTATCCTTATGCCCGGCATATCCCGTTCCCTAAAGAGGACCTCTGAGGATATATTTATATGCACATGTTCAATGCACATCTGGTGAGTGCGCAATTTTACTATACCTTCAAAGCACAAGCACTTAAGCATCGCTGCGGATGGAATCTTAACAACGATTATCATCTTATGAACTTTTTACTGGGTCCAACATTACCTGTCAGAGTCAACATTCAGCATTCTTCCCACTGACCTCCAATGTAAGGGACATTCTTCCCACTGACCACCAGTGTAAGGAGCATTCTTCCCACTGATCACCAATGTAAGGGACAGTCTTCCCACTGATCACCAATGTAAGGGACATTCTTCCCACTGACCACCAATGTAAGGAGCATTCTTCCCACTGACTGCCAATGTAAGGGACATTCTTCCCACTGACCGCCAATGTAAGTAGCATTCTTCGCACTGACCGCCAATGTAAGGGACATTCTTCCCACTGACCACCAATGTAAGGAGCATTCTTCCCACTTATCACCAATGTAAGGAGCATTCTTCCCACTGACCTCTAATGTAAGGGACATTCTTCCCACTGACCCCCATTGTAAGGGCCATTCTTCCCACTGATCACCAATGTAAGGAGGACATTCTTCCTACTGACCCCCAATGTAAGGAGGACATTCTTCCCACTGACCCCAATGTAAGGAGCATTCTTCCCACTGACCCCAGTGTAAGGAGCATTCTTCCCATTGACCACCAATGTAAGGAGCATTTTTCCCACTGACCCCCAATATAAGGGGCATTCTTCCCACTGACCCCCAATGTAAGAAGCATTCTTCCCACTGACCCCCACTGTAAGAAGCATTCTTCCCACTGACCCCCACTGTAAGGAGCATTTTGACCACCAATGTAAGGGACATTATTACCACTGACCACCAATGTAATGGATGCATTCTTCTCACTGACCACCAATTACTTAATTTTACCAGGGTTCCCGAGACCTACAATTTATTTCATGGTTCTTATGGGGTAAAAAAGTAAAAAATGCTGATCTATAGTAAAAATAAAACCTCTATTTGGTGCCCTAACTGCAATAAAAAGTGTGTCATCTACCAGTGGCACACATTCTCCATATTGGAAACATTGTACTACTCCATCTTAACGTTTACTGTATTACACTATATTTGTTGTTTCTCTCCCGGACTAGTTTTATGAACTGTGTTGGGAAACCTTCTCAATTAATTTGTATTTCTTTGTAACAGAAATGGAATCTTTCATCGTGATGTCAAGCCAGAAAATATTCTAATAAAGGTGAGTAATCCCAAAGTCTTAGGAAATACACTTTGTGGCCAAAGGTTTGTGGACACCCAACCATCACCTTTTAAATGAGCTTGTTGGACATCCCATTCCAAAACCATGGTCCATAATATGGAGTGCCCCTCCCATCCTGTTCCCGTTGTTACAACTTCCACTCTTCTGCGAAGGCTTTCCTGTAGATTTTAGTATGTGGTTTTGGTTCACAATTTGCATTCCAGTTATTCATAATAGGATTGAGGTCAATGCCCTTTTGTAGGCCGCTCAAGTTCTCCACACCACCATGCTCATATCTTTATGGAGCTGGCTTTATACACAGGGGCTCAGTCATACTGGAATAGTAAAGGGGCTTCTCCAAGCATGGAAGAGCACAATTGTCTTTTTAAGCTGTAGTATTAACTGTACCCTTCACTGGAAACAGCTGAATTCACTCATTTGGAGGGGTGTCCACAGACATTTGGCCACATAATGTATATGTAGAGACCACCTATTTATCTGTTCCTGGAATGAAATGCCCACCCTTGCACATTATGTTTTTCTTAAAGCTGAAATAAACCCTCCTATTTTTTCCAGGCCAAAGCAGCTTCCATCTTGGCCTCTCAGATTCTCAACTGCCATGGTGCTGCACATGTGATCAGTTATGACACCAGCCATTTGATGGCTTGACAGTTTGGTTGAGAGCACAAGCAAATGTGACAGTTACATTCTCGGCACGTGCCATGAACGTAACTGTTTTTTTTACACTGTAAACCCGATGGATCTAGTTTTGCTTGAAATATAGTTTCTTGACATACTTTATCTCAGACTTCACTAAGTAGAGTCACTAGCCTCAATCCCTGGTATACAGACAACCAAATGAGGGAGGATTTACGATTTTTTTGTATAAAAAACACAATAATCAAAATAAAAAATAGCAAGCATATAACTATGTTAAGTAAAGAGGGATTTAACTGTGCAGTTTGTTGAAGACAGGAAATTAAAGGACAGATCTACAGAAGGAAGAACTCTGTGGGGTCTGGAGCAGGGGCGGACTGACCATTTGGAAACTCGGGCACTGCCCGAGGGGCCGGGGTCAGTAGGGGGCCCCATGAGATGCCCCTGGTACCTTTTTCGTAGACTTTTTTGAGTTTGGGCAAGGACACAGGGGCCCTATGATCCTCAATTGCCCGGGGGCCCCATGAGTTGTCAGTCCGCCCCTGGTCTGGAGATACAAGAGTCTTAAAGCCTAAGTGCCACCACAATAAAAAACAGAAAATTCTGCGCAAGGGACATACCTTACTGTTAGATGTTTACCTTGTGTTCATTCCTCTGCTCCCCCCCCATTCCTGCCACGTAATCTTCCAGTGCAGCAGGGGTTAATCCTGTATATGCCCATCCCTACACTCATAGAAGCCATACTACAGCTTCTATGAATGGAACATGATCTGTGAATGGAGGGACAGAGCTGTCAATCATCCACCCTTCTTCCATTCTTAGATCCTTTTTTATTTATCCAAGCTGTAGTATGGTGTCTATGAATGGAGGACCTGGGTGGAGAGAGCGGGCATAGTCAGGATCTCTTGATGAGAGTCTGTGATGGCCCTTTAGTTGTATAAACCCCACTTCAGTCATTTTCTGGTGCTGGGGGGGGGGGGGGGTGCAGGATGGAGTAGAATTACTACTAAGCAATTACTATTACCAACTGAGGAATCAACACAAGGGACACACCCTACTGGCTGTAAGTTATGTTCCTTGTGCTGATTTTTCTATTTTGTCTACACTGAGGCTTTACCACAGACAGGCAGATGTGACATCTCTTCTTCTAGATGATGAGAGTTGGCAACTAAAAAAAGTTTTTTTATCATCCGCCAAACTAACGATTCTTCTTTATCAAAAATCTCTGTGCTGATCTAGCAAGATGTCCTAAAGCTTGCTGACTTTGGCTCGTGCCGCAGTGTCTTCTCAAAGCAGCCATACACAGAATACATATCAACACGTTGGTATCGGGCACCCGAATGTCTCTTGACTGATGGATATTACACCTACAAAATGGACATCTGGAGCGCAGGCTGTGTCTTCTTCGAGATCTGCAGGTAAGACCAAACCTTATAGTTGTATGTGCTGTTTGTTGGGGTAGTTCATAGTAAATTGGGTTTCAGATGTGCATGTTGTATTTTATTGGCTATGGGGTATGCATTACCTGTGTTTTTACCTTTTTTATTAACAAAAAACAAGGTTAAAATAAATATTCATTGTTTGGTTGTGTTCAACACACAACAACATATCATACGTACACTATATGGCCAAAAGTTTGTGGACAACTGACCACCACACCTAGACCAGCTTGTTGAACATCCCATTCCAAAACCATGGAGTTACCCAAGTGTCTGGGAGAATTAGTGCCCATTTGTGAGGTCAGGTTCTGATGTAGGATGAGAAGACCTGGCTCACCATCAGTGTTCCAATTCATCACAAAGGTATTTAGTAGTGTTGAGGTCAGGACTCTGTGCAGGACACTTGAATTTCTCCACACCAAACTCATCAAACCTGCCCCCTCCACAGCCTGGCACTCCATTGAGAGATGAAGGGGCAGAACAGAGAGCCAGGGCATGACAGTCACCGGCTCTTTGCTCACAGTGGAGGGAGAAAACTCAGCGATCAGCTGTGTTTGATCACTCAGTTCTCAGTGCAGAGCTGGCAGGGGACAGATGCAGCATCGGATCAATGCTGCATCCACCTAGGTGAGTATAAATGTTTTTTGTTAATTCCCATACTTCTCATACTTTTAATGTCTAAAACAATTTCACCACGTGAGGGCACTGTTCTATCAGAGCTTGTCACTAGCAAGTGGCCCATAGGCAGAGAATTGATTTTATATCTAGTATGCTTAAATTTGGTTTATTCTTTCTGCAATATACAGTGACAGTTACCTCCCTTTACAACCAGAGAAACCTGGAATAAAATAATAATTCAGAGCTTAGAGGACAAAATATAAAATGTATATTGTAGGGAAGGCAGCTGTAGTTTCTCCAGCCAAGGATCCTCCTAATTATCTTCAGTCCTCTATTAAAAAATTAAAAAACTGTAGTTTTTGGAGCTGATCTGAGGCCTGCAGTGCATGCATTGGAGCTGATCTGAGGCCTGCAGTGCATGCATTGGAGCTGATCTGAGGCCTGCAGTGCATGCATTGGAGCTGATCTGAGGCCTGAAGTGCATGCATTGGAGCTGATCTGAGGCCTGCAGTGCATGCATTGGAGCTGATCTGAGGTCTGAAGTGCATGCATTGGAGCTGATCTGAGGCCTGCAGTACATGCATTGGAGCTGATCTGAGGTCTGAAGTGCATGCGCTGTGGCTGAACATGTTCTGTGCACCAGTTAATCATTAATTATTAGATAGATAACGAGTGTATTTGTCATTAGCAGTACAACTACTGTATGTGAGCAAAAATTGAAAACAAACTAAGGTCGGCCATAGCGGTTCAAATCTTGGCTGGTTCTGCAGGAACACGGCAGAGATTGGAACTGTGTATGGACAGGCTGAATGTAATCGATTGATCAGTCAACTTTGGTACAACCAGCCTATTGGATTTTGCATGCGATTATCACTAGAGGCTGCTACAGCTGCTGGTAGTAATCACTGTCTTCAGGCACGGGCGGCTCCTGCCCCCCTGCCGGGAGAATACCATGGCTTGCTGGGAAGGATTCCCCTGTCAACATTGTGTTGATGGGGGAATCGAGCGGATTTCTTTCCTGCAACTTGTGGTTGCAGGGAAGAGATTTTGCTCCGTGTATGGCCTGCCTAAGACTCAGCTGTGCACGCGGGTTGTCCAATGCTTGTGAACATGACACCTAATGTGGAAAAGGTTGCTGACCCCGGGGTTGTGTGTAATGACTTCCTGCACTGCTGTGAACTTTGTATCTTCCCTGCACCCTCCCCAGAGCTGGCCTGTGTAGAGGCAGACTACACCAGCTCCACGGATCAGCATTCCCATCTGACTGTGTCAACATAAATTCAGCAGAGACTTGTGGAAGCCAAGAGTGTGTGTCCTCGTGCTATAACACCATAAATGGCTCATTCTCCTCTTCATTTCAGTCTCCATCCGCTCTTTCCTGGCTCCAACGAACTGGACCAGATCGCCAAAATCCACGATGTCCTCGGCACACCGACATCAGCTGTGCTCAGGAAGTTCAAACAGTAAGTGAATTTACTTTTGTGTGCTATTAGAAACGAAAGGTTAAAGGGGCACTCCACCTCATCACCCCAGGATAGAAAAGAAAGACAATCAATGCTTTCTGTGCGCTTGGTTCGGATTCTACATTGTCCTATACCGGGGGGGGGGGGGGGGGGGGGGGGATTCTACATTGTATACATATCACCCATGGCAACTGGTACAATTTGTAAGGGGTGTCTAGGGGGATACAGTAACAGATCATAAAAAGAACGGGAATTATTGAGAGAATGAGGGATGCACAGCAGTTATGTCACCACTAAAGAGTGAGAGAAATAAAATTACAACTACGTTTATGCAAAACTCTGAATATTTAGATAGGAGTACCTATGGCTCGTGTTTAATCAAAGCATATCTGTTGTCACAATGGAAGATCATATATTCATTGTATTTCAATTATTTCTATCCTTCTAATAATCTGAATGACATTTGTAAACTTACTTTGTGAAGATCCCCATACATTCAATTCCTTGAATTCTGTGACACGTAGTCACTGTGCCCTGTGAGTAGGCACTGCTGTGTCACCCATTTCACAGAGCATGCCTTCTGAACTGCAGTGGTGCTGAGAGAAGGAGTTTCAGGAGGCGGAGTCAGTACAGGAATCAGCTTGAAGGCAGCAAGGTACCATGGGATATGTAGTCCTGCAAAGTATGCAGGGAATCCAAGACGTTGTGGAAAGAGAAGGCCAGCAGACAGACATTTCACAGAGCCCGCCTTCTGAACTGCAAAGGTGCTGAGAGGAGGAGTTTCAGGAGGCAGAGGCGGTACCTTGCTGCCTGCAAGCTGTGCTTCCTGTACTATGGGGATATGTAGTCCTGCAAAGTATGCAGGGAATCCAGGAAGTTTTGGAAAGAGACATCCAGCAGACAGACATTTCACAGAGCCCGCCTTCTGAACTGCAGAGGTGCTGAGAGGAGGAGTTACCTTGCTGCCTGCAAGCTGTGATTCCTGTACTGACTCCGCCTCCTGAAACTCCTTCTCTCAGCACCTCTGCAGTTCAGAAGGTGGGCTCTGTGAAATGTCTGTCTGCTGGCCGCCTCTTTCCACAACTTCCTAGATTCCCTGCATGCTTTGCAGGACTACATATCCCATGGTACCTTGCTGCCTGCAAGCTGTGATTCCTGTAGTATGGGATATGTAGTCCTGCAAAGCATGCAGAGAATCCAGGAAGTTGTGGAAAGAGACAACCAGCAGACAGGCTGCACTCACAACATGAAAGGAGATTTTTTTTCAAGTATGTTTATTTTATTTCAGGTACTTATATAGCGCTGTCAATTTACGCAGCGCTTTACATATATATTGTACATTCACATCAGTCCCTAACCCTCAAGGAGTGTTCAATCTAAGGTCCCTAACTCACATTCATACATACACATACTAGGGCCAATTTAGACAGGGTCTAATTTACCTGCATGTCTTTGGAGTGTGGGAGGAAACCATAGTACCCAGAGGAAACCCACGCAGGCACAGGGAGAACATGCAAACTCCAGGCAGGTGGTGCCATGGTTGGGATTTGAACCAGCGACCCGAGTACTGCCAGGCGGAAGTGCTAACCATTTAGTCATTGTGTTGCCCATGTTTATGTTGGATTGTTAAACATAGCTATTGCTTGTGTTGTTATAAAATGAAAGTGTATGCTGTGTCCACAGAAGTCCTTTAGCATTTGTTTAGCCTAGATTTGAGCTTTTACGACAAGCCGTGTAAGCACCTGAATTTGAGTGGGCATCAGCCTCTTGCAATCGCCGTACAGCAGAGCTTAGGCTGGAAGAGAGAGCAGCAGTACAAGAAGTCACTCAGTTGTTCTGCAGTGCTCATAAGCCAATAAGGAACATGCTGATAGGAGGAGAGAGCAGAGTGACAGAGATGAGCTCACCAGTCTGTTGCTTCTTTCATAGTCCAGGCACAGGCTGGTGGAGGGACAAGACCCGTGTCACTTAACTGCAGTAGAGGAAAATCAGTTCTGCCTTGCCAGACTGCCCTGTGCTGTCTGGCAGAGCTGTGTAACTCTCAAGACAGGATGGACAGAAATGCATACCTTTTAGCTGGCAAAACCATTCATTTGTATGTATTTCATCTGCGTATTAAAGGTGTAATCACATGGGTGAACCAATCTGTATTCCCATGCAAAGGGTCCATCTGTACCTGCGTGGGATGCATAGGTGTACTGTGCAGAAAGCCTGTTGAAATGAATGACAGGCGACTGGCTGCACAGATCTCCATTCACATCCCGAAGCATACATCTGTGCGGGTCCAGTGCAAGGATCAGAACGCAGCCTGCTTGCGGGTTTGCTTTGTGAATGAGCCTCATGTAGCTTATACATCCATACTGCCATGGTGTACATTTGGATGTGGATTCATTTTGTAACTGTATTACTCCATGTAATGGAAGCTCTTCCGATATCATTCCGTGGGAGTACGATGAAGGGAGCATGTTTGTTTTATCTTCTACCTGCAGATAAGTAACATTTTCCTAGATAAGCATACTAAAGCATTTGCAACGTCAAGGGTTTTTTTTTTCTCGCTCTTAGTCAGCAGAGCCTGAACTGTCGCCAGCGATGTAAATGAAGATATAGAGGCCATTTAACTGGTTCCCAGTGCTGAAAGGAAGCATTGTGGAGCATTTTTAGTGCTTGTTTTTTTGTTTTTAATTCAATAATATGTATGCCCCAGTAGCAGCAGGAAGCCTATTGTTTTAACTCATTTAGATTCTGTTTTACTGTAAGCACAGCTCCAGAATGACAAGTATAAATGCAGAGTGTATAGCAAGAAGCATGTGGATTGTCTTAAAATGGTTTACGGTGTCTCCAGTAAAGAGTTTGCCAGCATGCCGAGGCATTTTAAACAATTGTGCTCCTCCCACCCTGTGGTAACAGTTTATATGGTGAATCTTTTGAAGACTTTATTTTTTTTGCCACAGGTTTTTGTACAATGCGGAATGAATATGTTTGCTTTTTTTTTTTTTACACACAAAAACTTATCAATTTATTAAGATATTTTTCACACACATCATAGGCATACATAGAATTACACCCCAAAACACATTCCGCTACTCCTCCCAAGGATTGGGATAAATGTGAAAGACTTTTTCACTGCCTAGGTCCAAAATCCAAGGAGTACCTTTAGGCTTTTTAGGAGCATAAATTACACATCTAATTTCCTGACTACCTATCACATTTTTGGAGGCTGTGGAACACCAGGAGAGCAAAATTACCCACCAAATGATCACATTTTGGAGGGTAAACACCCCAAGGTATAAGTCTTGGTTCACACTACTGCGGCCTGAAAGTAGCGCAACTTACAGTGCAGCTTTGCCAGGCAACTTCCTGGCGACTTGGGTACTACTTTTTATGCAACATTGAAGTGACTTTCAGGGGATACCTTGGTAATCTTCCTGTAATGTTGGATCCAAGTCACATCAATATAGATGAGGATCCAAATTGGAGGCGACTTAAAGTCTATTGGCAAAAGTCAGATAGAAGTCGCCTTGAAGTAGTACAGGAACCTTTTCTAAAGTCAGAGCAACTTCAGTAGTGCTAATTAAGACAGCTCTCATTGATTAACATGGGATTTCACATTTCATGCAACTTGCGGTCTCACAAATCGGATCCCAAGTCGCGGCAGTGTGAACCAAGCCTAAGAGGTATGGTGAGGTTTTTGAAGACTTCATTTTACTGCCACAAGTATTTGGAAAATGCAGAAAGAAAAAGAAAATTATTTTGTATTATACAAAGTTGGCAATTTAATAAGACATCTCTCACATGCATCATAGGCATACTTAGAAATACACCCCAAAACACATTCTGCTACTCCTCCCAAGTATGGGGAGGCCACATGAGACTTTTTCACAGCCTACCCAAACAGAGGGGCCCAGCATCCAAGGAGCACCTGCAGGTTTTCTATGGGCATAAATTGCGCATCTAATTTACTGACTACTTATCACATTTTTTGGAGGCCCTGGAGCAGGAGGACAGCAGAAACAGCCACAAAATGACCACATTTTGGAGATTAAATACCACTATGTATTTTTTAAAAGGCATGATGAGTTTTTTTTGAAGACTTCATTTTATTGCCATGAGTTTTTGGAAAATGCGAAAATGAAAAATTTTTTTTTTGGACAAAGTTGACTAATAAGATATTTCTCAGCTACAGTATGGGCATACTTAGAATCACACCCCAAAACACTCCTCTTAAGTATGGGAATACCATGTGTGAGACTTTTTCAGTATTTGGACTGATTATGTAACGGACATGGAATCTTGTGTATCACAAAAATAAACCAATTGTATCAAAAAGAGTGTACTGTAACGATCCACTATGTTCAAGTGGTCAGGGAATATAGCGGGGGGGGACCCCAGAAGAGGAGGATCGGGGCTTCTCTGTGCAAAATCATTACATAGAGCAGGTAACTATGACGTTTATTATTATTTTTTTTCTTTTTTTAAAGAAGGAAACCTTTACTATCATTTTCATTATGGCAAACACAGCTTCCTCGCCTCATTAATAAAAAAAAAAAAACATGGAATTTTTCCTTGCTGGATATCCCATCTAAATGGACATTTCATCTCTACCTGTAAATTACCTGTTTATATTGGCAGTTCTGTTGAGGTTTTAATTCTCCTTTACAGATCAAGAGCAATGAATTTTGATTTCCCATCCAAAAAGGGAACAGGGATTAGTCGACTGTTGCCAGGTTTCTCTCTTGAAAGCATCTCGCTCATGTGTGCCATGCTGGAATACAACCCAGAGGAGCGGATCACCGCTGGACAGGCACTCCAGAACTCTTTCTTTGCAGAATCCAGGTATATTATGGCTGCAGGCACTAGTACAGAGTATATAGAATCCAACCATGTATTGAAAAAAACATTTTTTTGATTTAGACTTAATTTAACTTTTCAAAACCTTTTAATACTAATTGGAAAATTAACATTTCCTACCAGACCCCTTTGCAGAATATTGTGTTTTTTCAGGACTTTAGTGACATTTACAAAAAGCTGTGCAAGTCTTCTCCACTATCTCTGCAGTTTAAAAAAAAAAAAAAAAAAAAATGTAATGTTATTTATGTATATACATGTACTACAGACACAGATTTGACCATTATGATATATAACCAGTGTTAATTTTGACGAAAACTTGCGATTTTGTTGTACTCAGTCTTTTGACTAAAATGTAATTTTAGTTTTTAGTCGTATTTTAGTCATCTGAATTTTTTTAGTTGACTAAAATAGTGTTCATTTTGCTTTTCATTGATGAAATTAACATTGATGTCCAGACATGACCCAAATGTACCCCCATTCCTCCCACCTGCCTTGTAAAGCATGACCCAGCATTATCTCTTTTACCTCGTTTCTGTAGCAAGGCACAGCTTTAAAGTGGTTCTAAGGCTCCATGCACACGGGGCGTTTTGATAACGCTGGCAACATTAGTTGTGTAAAGTCACATTACAAACTGGAGTTTTTCAACTTTTTTTTTTTAGCGTTTTTGCATTAGGCCCTCAAATCCCTCTTGTATTGAACTGTATTGTTGCTGTATTGTCTCCCGTTATATTGTAAAGCGCTGAGCAAACCGATGGCGCTATATAAATCCTGTATAATAATAATTAGCGTTTTGCCACGTTTCGGTGTTTTAGCAGTTTTGTTTTTACCCACTAAGAAATTTTTTTTTTTTTTGGTAAAAAACTACGGTAAGTCCAAAAATGTTTGCTACGTTTTTACAGCTAAAAAAAACTCCTCTAGAAGCCCACTAGTCCTGGGTTTTTCCAGCCAAAAAACATTGATTCCAGTCTATGTGTGCATGGACACATAGGATAACATGCTGAGGGGGTTACTAGCTGTAGAAAAAAACGTCAAAAGACAAAAACAGCCGCTGTAAAAACGTCCCGTGTGCATGAGGACTAAAGCCTAAAGCAATACCTTTAAAAAATATTTCAGCGTTGGTTTCGGCCTCTCCTTTGAAAGAATAAATCTCCTCTAATGTTGGGTGTCCTATATGAGGATGTTTCTAGTAAAGAACGAGTAACTCTGGCGCATAGGAGTAAAGTAGTGTAAGGGTGAAAAGGATAAAAAATATAAAGTAAAAGATGATAATGGCAATATTGGCGTACAAGTATTTTAAAACAGGTTATGTAAATGTATTGGTGTACAATAAGTCCTTATAAGAGTCTCTCAGGCAATCTGCATGGAATCTTTTTTAGCACAAAAATATGGCAGCCATCCTCGGAGCAAGCCAGCTCTGTATGCAGGGGCAGAAGAAAAGAGACAGGGGGCGCCCATCTGAGTGTAGTAATAACACTGTATTTAATGGAAAAGGGTTTAGAAAACACTCACAAAGGAAGTAATAACACAAGCTCATCTGTGTATATGAGAGATGACCGTTCCTAAAAACGTCCAGCAGGCACCACCGGTGGGCTGATGGAGATGGTGAGACTGTAGTGGTCAATCCTGCAGAGGTGGTGTTGTAGAGCCGATCCAGCGGCGTTTGTGCAGGAAGGAGCCTAGTAACCAGCCTGGAACACACCGGCAGTGGGAACGAAGAGCACAGATGTGGGACAGTCAGGCTATGAGCTCTGAGCCTCCAGCTCCTTCTATTGGACGTTTTGATGAACGGTCATCTCTCATATACACAGAGGAGCTTATGTTATTACTTCCTTTGTGAGTGTTTTCTAATGGTCAATCCTGCAGAGTGGTGGTGTGTTGTAGAGCCGATCCAGCAGGAAGGAGCAGGAAGGAGCCTAGTAACCAGCCTGGAACACACCGGCAGGATGTGACATCACAGGAAGAGGCGGAGGGTCAGTGGGGAGGAAGAGCACAGACGTGGGACAGTCAGGCTACACGCTCTGAGCCTCTAGCTCTTTCTATTGGACATATTGAGGAACGGTCATCTCTCATATACATAGATGAGCTTGTTTTATTACTTCCTTTGAGTGTTTTCTAATGGTCAATCCTGCAAAGTGGTGGTGTTGTAGAGCCAATCCAGTGGCGTTTGTACAGGAAGGAGCCTAGTAACCAGCCTGGAACACACCGGCAGGATGTGACATCACAGGAAGAGGCGGAGGGTCAGTGGGAAAGAGCACATACATGGGACAGTCAGGCTATGCGCTCAGAGCCTCTAGCGCCTTCTATTGGACATATTGAGGAACGGTCATCTCTCATATACACAGATGAGCTTGTTTTATTACTTCCTTTGTGTTTTCTAACCCTTTGCTATTAAATACAGTGTTATTACTACACTCAGACGGGCGCCTCCTGTCTCTTTTCTTCTATACGAGGATGTTGCTGTGCAATGTAAACCGTTTAGTTTGTTTACATTTTAGAATGAGGTGCCCTTACGATTTGTGCATCATTTTAAGGGTGCCTTTGACTGAACAAAAAAAAAGTTGAGAAACACTGCTATAGACTGTTTCTTATCTCACCAATCCTCACAATGCTGACGTTCCATCCTCAGGACATTAGAGAGGCGCGGTCTGCCCCTAAAATTTGGTTTGGCAGAAAAGTCCAACACAGCGGGTTCCATGAGTTATCTGATGCGGATTGCCGGCCAAGGAAGAAGGCAGGTAAAATTTTCACCACTTTTGTCATTTGAAAACCACTTGCCTGTTCGATGAGACATGTGAAGCTCAGCTGGCAGATGATGCAGTTTGAGGAGATCAACATAATAAATCTAACCCTACAATTCTCACAAAAATAACCACTTTGTTTACTTTATTTTTTTTTTTGAATAAAATGTATTAACCCTGACTGTGGCTTCAGCTAGAAAACACTCAATCCAACAGCGGGCTGGGATTTGTTCTCCCCGCACCTGCTCACATTGTGAAAACGGTGCAGCTGTGAACTGCATTCCCGATCTACAGATCATGGGTGCAATACTTTGCTGGCTCCTGTTTTAAAAAAAATAATAAATGCCTGTTTTTACCGGCAGAAATAGGTACATTTATTATTTTAAATGATGAACTTAGCCTTTAAGAAACACCTACCTGCATACGCCAAAATACTTGACGTTCCAGAAATGTCTTGTGTCACAGTAGATGATGTACATCTCTAATTGTTTGCCATTCAGCCTCTCTACCATCCCCAAACTTTTCCAAAAGTTCTTCTCTTGGTCATTAAACTTTTGGAGGAAAAGGGTTTTCAGAGATTTCATTATTTCAATGACATTCTGCTTTGTGCCAAGGAAGAGGAACATTTTCATACATTGGCAGAGATCACTATAGGACTTAAGTTGGCTACACACAGCCATCGGGCTGAATAATAAAAAAGAAAAACTATTCCTCCATGCACGCAAATGAGACGTGTAGGAACTGTACAACTGTTTACCAGAGAATCTGGATATCCTCCGCCATTAGTCTATGGTGGTAGACATGAATGGTCAACTCTCTACAATTTTCTTTCTGTACATACCATCAATTGGACTATCCTGAAATCAAATGCAAGCAGAGAATGGATGGTTCCTGCATTTTATGCCTCCAGTTTTGAGTCTACCAGCTAAACATGGGAAGGTTTATCTGCAGGTTACATCACCTGTAGGAATTCTAATCTGATTTTTTTAAATTCAAGTCTTAATAGGAGCCTCTGCTACCTGCATAGTGAATACAATCCAGCAGACCTACAGGGATAAAGTCCTTTCTCTGCCGGTGAAGTGTTCAGTGCACTTTACCAAAGGGTAACATTTCTACATGCTAGGGGACAATGTAAAGGGTTTCAAAATCCTGCTTCTAGGAAAATGATTATTGTCAGCATTATCAATACTATTTTTTTAAATAAATATTGCTATTAGAGGGCTTTTTACAACCCAAATTCCAAAAAAGTTGGGACACTGAAAATTTGCAAAAAAAGCAGAATGCAATTATATGCAAATCCCATAAACCTATATTTTATTCACAACAGAAAATAGAAAACATATCAAATGTTTAAACTGAGAAGATGTACCATTTTAAGAAAAAAAATAAGGTAACTTTGAAATTGATAGCAGCAAAACATCTGAAAGTTGGGACAGGGCAACAGAAAGCTGGCAAAGTGGTTCTAACAAGGAAGAGCTGGAAGAACATTTTGCAACAAATAGGTTAAATGGCAACTAGTCAGTAACATGATTTGGTATAAAAAGATCATCTTGGAGAGTCAGCGTGTTTTAAAAAATAAAGATGGGCAGAATTTCGCCAATCTGTGAAAAGCTGCATCTAAAAATTGTCGAACAATTTCAGAATAATGTTCCTCAATGTAAAATTGCATACTTTAAATAGATCATCACCTACAGTACACAATATCATCAAAAGATTCCTAAAATCTGGAGAAATCGGTGTGGAAGGGACAAGGCTGAAACACAATATTGGATGCCCGTGATCTTTAGGCCCTCAGATGGCACTGCATTGAAAACAGTCATTCTGTGATGTCCATACTTCCAGAAGTTAAGGTCTGTGCACAGCTCGCTGTGCCATCCAAAAATGCAACATAAAAGTTCTGTCATGCAAAGAAGAAGCCATATCTGAACATGATTCAGAAACACCACCGACTTCTCTCTGCCAAAGCTCATTTAAAATGGTCTGTTGCAAAGTGGAAAAGTGTTCTGTGGTCAGATGAATCGAAATTTGACATTTTTGGCTACCATGGCCACCAGACTGATTAGAAGGACCTTGTTATCAGTGCTCAATTCAAAAGCCTGCATCTCTGATGGTATGGGGGGTATTAGTGTGTATGGAATGGGCAGTTTGCACAGCTGTAAAGGCACCATCAATGCTGAAAGACATTTAGGTTTTTAGAGCAGCATATGCTCCCATCCAGATGACATCGTTTTCAGAGAAGGCCTTGTGTATTTCAGCAGGACAATGCTAAGCTACATACTGCATCTATGACAACACCACGGCTTCATAGTAGAAGAGTCCA